CATCAATCACCATCACAATCATCACAACATCAACAAATCACCATCATCATCCATCACATCAAAATCACAATCACAACACATCACAATCATCATCATCAATTCAATCAAATCATCACCATCAAAATCCAATCATCACAATCAATCACACCACAAATCACCATCAAACATCACAACACATCATCACATCATCATCAATCATCATCAAAAACCAACAAAATCATCATCATCAATCATCATCATCAATCATCAATCACCATCATCACCATCATCACATCATCACCATCATCAACATCAACAATCAACAAATCACCAAAAAAATCATCACAAATCAAATCAATCATCATCACATCATCATCATCAATCATCAAATCAATCATCATCATCCATCACCATCAATCACCATCATCAAAAATCATCATCATCATCATCATCAAAACATCACAATCAAACACATCAATCATCATCACCAACATCATCATCACATCATCACACACAACAATCATCATCATCAACACATCACAATCAAATCAAACCATCAATCAATCATCAAATCATCATCAATCATCATCACCATCATCATTCACATCATCACAAAAAAAACAACACATTTCACAATCACCATCACTCATCAACATCATCATCATCATCAATCACATCATCAAATCAATCATCATCATCATCATCATCATCACCACATCATCATCATCAATCATCACCATCAATCATCATCAAACCATCACATCATCATCATCACATCATTCATCAAATCACAATCATCATCAATCAATCAAAAATCAATCAAATCAAATCATCATCATCATCAACCAATCATCATCATCAATCATCATCAAACAATCATCTCAACCATCACCATCACAACACAATCACACATCAATCAAATCACACATCAACAATCATCATTATCATCAATCCACCATCATCATCACATCATCACCACACATCAAACACATCAAATCATCATCACATCATCATCAAAATCACAACAATCATCACCATCCATCATCAATCATCATCATCATCATCATCATCATCCATCAAACATCATCATCATCATCATCATCATCATCATCACCAATCATCACCATCATCATCATCATCAAATCAATCAAAACCATCACCAAATCACCATCATCACCATTACCATCATCATCATAACCATCATCATCATCACCATAATCACCATCATAATCATCACCATAATCACCACCATCACCATCACCACCATCACCATCATCACCATCATCACCATCATCATCATCACCATAATCACCATCATCACCATCATCACATCATCAACAAAAACATCAATCAAACCATCAACATCACATCAACCATCAAATCACCATCATCACCATCATCACCATCACACAAAATCACATCATCAAATCACCATCATCATCAATCATCACATCATCAATCATCCATCAATCACAAAATCAAATCAACATCATCACCATCACCATCATCACCATCATCAATCATCAATCATCATCATCATCATCACAATCACAATCATCATCACAAACATCATCATCACACATCATCAATCATCATCATCATCATCACCATCATCATCATCACCATCATCATCATCAACCATCACCATCACCATCAACCATCATCACCATCATCACCATCATCACCAACATCATCATCATCATCACCATCACCATCATCACCATCATCACCATCATCACCATCATCACCATCATCATCATCATCACCATCACCATCATTCATCAATCACATCACAAATCATCATCACCATCATCATCATCATCATCATCAACATCATCACAATCATCAACATCATCACCATCACCATCATCACCATCATCACCATCATCATCATCATCACCATTATCATCACCATCACTATCATCATCATCATCATCATCACCATCACCATTATCACCATCATCACCATCATCATCATCACCATCACCATCATCACCATCGTCACCATCATCATCATCATCACCATCATTATCATCACCATCATCATCACCATCATCATCATCATTATCACCATTATCACCATCATCACCATCATCGTCATCATTACCATCACCATAATCACCATCATCGTCATCATCACCATCATCACCATCATTATCATCACCATCATCACTATCACCATGACCATCATCATCATCACCATCATTATCATCACCATCATCACCATAATCACCGTCATCATCATCACCATCATCACCATCACCATCATCACCATCACCATCCTATTTCTCAATGCCCATACTTACGTTTGGATGCCCGCATAATAGTGTCGTTTGTATATAAGTGTCTAGTTGGCATCTTGTTTCTATTTCCCGATCCTCTGATAATATACTTCCTAGACATTTAAATTCTATAACTTGCTTTAGCCAAGTACCAATCAACTCGATATGTAGTGGACTGGGAATTCTGCTAACCTGAATTATTTCAGTTTTAGTAACGTTCATTTTTGTGTTATATCTTCTACAAGTTAAACTTAACCTGTTCAGATGTTCTTGCAGTCCAATTCCCTTATTGTAGAATAAGAACTTACTGTCTGCAAATAGTAGCTCGTTTATTTTGTATAGGTCTTTTTTTCCTATGGAAATTAAAGTTAAAATTTTTCTTGACTGTCTGGGTCTACTGCTTTAAGCCAAGTTTCGTTTAATATTTTGTATATGTATATAGTAGTGCTTGAACAGCCTTAAAAGTCTATGGTTAAGCACTAGCAAGGAGATAAAAATTAGAATTTCAAGAGCATGCATCTTTCTCGTGGCTACATACGGATGTGAGTCGTGGACTATCTCTCAGTCCTTAAGAAAGAGAAGAGGGGCTTTTGAGCTGAAATGCTATAGAAAGATTAAAAATGATTGACATCTTAAAAGACCTGAACATCAAGGAAGATTGGCTAAAAAACAGCATATCAAGCGTGGTCACATCAAGTGCCACGACGGATTGGAAAAAAATTATAGCAAAAGGCATGGTTCCAGGAAGCATCGACAGGGGCCGACCGATACGAAGATGGGCACAGGATATAAGTGACTCCTTGAGTGTGAAAGTGCATGAGGCAGGAGAACTGGCGAGAGACCGAGTTTCTTTCAGGCAGACTGTGATGAGAGCGACGTTCGCAAAGGACCTGCTACATGATGATGATATAGAGGCGCATACATCTCTGCCTCATCTCTGAATGGAATGCAAACATATCAGATATGCCCTCGTGTGTTTTCACTGAGCATTGGGAAGTGTGGTACATTGCCACGATCTTGTCTAGCAAGTGTCATTGTATCTCTCAACACTCCCCGAGAACAACCTAAAGTTTGTTTCTGTCTACTCTATTAAAAGCTTTTTCATGATCAACAAACACAATATTCAGTTTATCGTCATATTAAATGGGGGGGGGGGGGGTGGGGGGGGCACAAACATGTCTTAGTGTAAAAAGTGCACAAAATAAATATAACGTCTAGAAAGACGGAATAGTTGCAAGAGATGCCCCCCCCCCCCCCCTTTTTTTTTCTCCCCCCCCCCCCAAAAAAAGCTTCCAGCTTAACCATCAGAAATACAGTTAGAAATGATATTATCAAGCAGACTGTAGGAACAAAGTCATGCAGCCAGTTCATTAAGAAACAGAAGATCAGAGGGTTTGGTCTTCTCAAAAGAATGCAGCTAGAACAATTACCAACGCAGAAGCTTCAAATGATGAAAAGATCGGAAGGGAAAGGAAGAGACCGCCCTAGGAGAAATGGACTGATGACATTAAAAATCTTCTATTTCGACACAGAATTCCTGTCTATTTAGCATTGAATCGCAAACTGTTCCTGCCCACAATAATTACCAGTAGAACTGGAAATGGATGATAGTTAGTTGATCTGTTTCTTATCAGGTACCCTAATCATGCGTCTGCCCTCCACGACGTGATCTGTTCTGTTCTAGCACACTATAGTTCAGATGTACATTCCACATACAAACGACCGTAGCTGTATTATTGCTCCAGTGGATGTCTCGCCCTTGCTACAGTGAGGGAGCTGGTGTGTTTATCAAGGACCCCAGATCTATACAGGCGTTACCGTGGTTCCAAGCAGCGCCTCCGAAATCAAATAGATCAAAGAACAGACTTGGGCCGACGCCGCAACTTTTGTGAAACCTCATTGTAATAGGAAAGGAAGAAACAGGCCGCAAACTCAGATGGGTGTGGCGAACGACGACCCAGGAACAAATACAAAAGTTGATCTACAAATACTTGATTATCTTGTAAATAAAAAAAAAAAGAATGCCAATCACAGAGACGAATTAGAGCGGGTGATATCTGCAGCAATGAACCTTAAGGGCTCGAATGCTCACGTAGAAAACAATAGTAAGAGTTCTAAACAATACTTTAAAATAGGCCCTCTCTCTCTCTTTATCTCTCTCTCTTTATCTCTCTCTCTCTCTATCTCTCTCTCTCTCTCTCTCTCTCTCTCTCTCTCTCTCTATCTACCTATACATCCATCCATCCATCCATCCATCCATCCATCCATCCATCCATCCATCCATCCATCCATCCATCCATCCATCCATCCATCCATCCATCTATCTATCTATCTATCTATCTATCTATCTATCTATCTATCTATCTATCTATCTATCTATCTATCTATCTATCTATCTATCTATCTATCTATCTATCTATCTATCTATCTATCTATCTATCTATCTATCTATCTATCTATCTATCTATCTATCTATCTATCTATCTATCTATCTATCTATCTATCTATCTATCTATCTATCTATCTATCTATCTATCTATCTATCTATCTATCTATCTATCTATCTATCTATCTAACTGTCTGAATCTCTCAGGAACTTTCAGCTTTTGTTCAATGGGTATCTTTTACATCCTAAGATTGCAGTTTAAAAAACAATATACATATATATGTGTGTGTGTGTGTGTGTGTGTGTGTGTGTGTGTATACTCTCTGCATGAAATCTGTTAAAGAAAAACCTACCGATCCATTAAAGTCGTCCTCGTCTATGTTATTAAACATAATTCCAGCCAGACCCATGTATCGTACGTACGTGATCTGAAAGAGAAGATACAAGTATCGCTTTCAAATTGTGCCAATCGGCGGGAGGAACATTTTGCCGTCCAGCGCTGCAGAGAGAGCATTATTAGCCTGGCCATTGTCATTCGGTGTGTATGTAAAACGTTCTTTAAATTTTCTCTATGTGCGTCCTCTTTCTCATTTCACTTTATTTTTTATTTTTGATATTTATATACTACTCTTAGCGTTTTTCTTAATTCTTCAAAAGCAAGCAGCATGTAGTGAGTGGTTGTCATTTTCCTGTATGTCCCAAACATCGATTTACCTGTTTGTTTTGTTTCATGTTTATGTTCAGCCAACGCGTAGTATAGAAATCTAATTATCCGATTGGCAAATTCAAGTTTGTTTTAGTTCGAATATTTTACAAATCCGGATCTTTTCAAAAATGCCCTAGGCTTCCAGGTTGTTTGTTTGTTTGTTTGTCTGTTTCAGTATCCAGAAGCCATGAGTTGTTAACCCTTAGGCTCGGTATTGTGGATATCGCAAGTAGTAAGGGATGCTCAAAATGGATCTACTGTTTGGCCCTCTCAGCCCTCCCGAGGCCCTCTCAGCCCTCCCGAGGCCCTCTCAGCCCTCCCGATGCCCTCTCAGCCCTCCCGGTCGTCAGCCTAGCACAGGTGTTAAGCCTGAAGTTCAAAGGGTCAATAATTTGGGTCATATATTTATTTTTTTTCAAGTTGGTTGATTATTTTTTGCATCTGTCACCCCAGAAATAAAATCTTGTTAATATATTTTTTTTCAAGTTGGTTAATGATTTTTTTCCTAGCAGTCAGAGGCGTATCTTGTTGGATTTGTTGAAAAGCTTGTTTATACATTGCTCTCTGTATTTCTGCTATAAGGTTAGACATCACTTCTTCTTCTTCTTCTTCTTCTTCTTCTTCTTCTTCTTCTTCTTCTTCTTCTTCTTCTTCTTCTTCTTATTCTTATTCTTCTGCTGGTGCTGTTGTCACGGATAAGTTGTCTTCGGATTCCTGTTTCTTTGCGATATGTTGAATTAGGAATCGACATCACAGCTCTCAGGACACCTCCATAAGCGCCCGGTCCCCATCTTCAGCAGCAGGTGAATAGTAAAAAATTCCGATGGTACCAGTAGGTCTCTTGTAGTTCTTTCTGTCTACCCCTTTATCTCACCTGTAGTAATTACCCGCCCACAGTTAACAAACAACATTGATTTAAAAAACGAAAAGCAGAAGACGTATAACAGTTTATATAATTGTTTATTGTTTTAGTCTTTTCAAATCTTTTGTTTTAACAATCATCAAGGTAAAAATCAGGACAGACAAACATTCGAACATTTGCAACAGTACAATAGGCATACATTAGGCAAATAATTCATGCATATAACAGTTTATTAGATAGCTGGTTGCTGAATGTGGTCTGGTGTAGCTATGATACAAGAAATAGAAGCCTCCGGTTCGATGTGGTTAATAGAAGATATGAGTCCCAAGATATTCTACCATAGTTATTTTTTACCCCACAATGTCCACACCTCTGAAAACCAGATGTGTTTCTAATAAAAAAAAGACTTATCAGACAAGGCCCCGATACGCATACATTATTAAAAAAAACGTATCTGAAGCGCCCATATATTAGTTTGGTTTTATTACCACTTAAACAAATTAGATTCAAACCATATTAGTGTTTTTGCAATAATCCCCGAACACCTGGTGGGTATCCCTGTAGATAAAAACCCACCGAATTTGTGTGTTTTTTGTGCATATTTCTGCAAGCCTGCTCTTTTGGAAAACCAAATAAAACCAAACTAATATACGGGCGCTTCAGATACGTTTTTTTAATAATGTATGTGTATCGGGGCCTTGCCTGATAAGTTTTTTTTTTTTATTAGAAACACATCTGGTTTTCAGAGGTGTGGAATTTGTGGGGTAAAAATAACTATGGTAGAATATCTTGGGACTCATATCTTCTATTAACCACATCGAACCGGAGGCTTCTATTTCTTGTATCATAGCTACACCAGACCACATTCAGCAACCAGCTATCTAATAAACTGTTATATGCATGAATTATTTGCCTAATGTATGCCTATTGTACTGTTGCAAATGTTCGAATGTTTGTCTGTCCTGATTTTTACCTTGATGATTGTTAAAACAAAAGATTTGAAAAGACTAAAACAATAAACAATTATATAAACTGTTATACGTCTTCTGCTTTTCGTTTTTTAAATCAATGTTGTTTGTTAACTGTGGGCGGGTAATTACTACAGGTGAGATACAGGGGTAGACAGAAAGAACTACAAGAGACCTACTGGTACCATCGGAATTTTTTACTATTCACCTGCTGCTGAAGATGGGGACCGGGCGCTTATGGAGGTGTCCTGAGAGCTGTGATGTCGATTCCTAATTCAACATATCGCAAAGAAACAGGAATCCGAAGACAACTTATCCGTGACAACAGCACCAGCAGAAGAATAAGAAGAAGAAGAAGAAGAAGAAGAAGAAGAAGAAGAAGAAGAAGAAGAAGAAGAAGAAGAAGAAGAAGAAGAAGAAGAAGAAGAAGAAGTGATGTCTAACCTTATAGCAGAAATACAGAGAGCAATGTATAAACAAGCTTTTCAACAAATCCAACAAGATACGCTTCTGACTGCTAGGAAAAAAATCATTAACCAACTTGAAAAAAAATATATTATTAACAAGATTTTATTTCTGGGGTGACAGATGCAAAAAATAATCAACTAGCTTGAAAAAAAATAAATATATGACCCAAATTATCGACCCTTTGAACTTCAGGCTTAACACCTGTGCTAGGCTGACGACCGGGAGGGCTGAGAGGGCATCGGGAGGGCTGAGAGGGCCTCGGGAGGGCTGAGAGGGCCTCGGAAGGGCTGAGAGGGCCAAACAGTAGATCCATTTTGAGCATCCCTTACTACTATCGCAACCTTTCGGCCTTGATTCCATTGTAAATACCGTAAATCTGGGAGAAATGTGGCTTTTCTGCCCACCCCCAGGATGGAACCCGGACCACAAGGAGTTCGTCACCCGCTCACCGCGCAATCCGGTTTATCCAACTACGCTAGAGAGACGGGCTGGCTTCAAGGTCGACCCAACCTTAGACGAGTACCAGGAAAAATCATGGGAAGTTAAAACAAGGCCGGAGTGATGGCTGATCACATGACTCAACAAGTGCCGATTTGTTTATAGAATATAGGTCAACTCCTATATGCCAAATACAGCTGAAAGCGCGGAAATAACTCCTCTATTTACCTTTTAATTTTTTTTAAATTCATTCTCAACTATCAGATACTAAAATTGATAATGTTGTGAAGGAGAGAAAGTACGAAGGAGGGAAAGATGTGGTCTATGATGAGGAAAGTCTGTCCCTTTGGTGGTCATTGTTCCCCTCTACGATTACTGTCTGTAGGAATAAACTTCAACAAGAGCTGACCCGAGGAACCCCATTCATCCGCAGAACTCAGAAGTATTAAGGCACGTCTACTGTTATGAGGTAACACAAAGTCCATTATGTGACTGCGAGATATCATATGGATTGTTGGGGTCCTCTGAGAGCCCACCATCCCCCTATACACCCATCCCCCGCCCGCTTCTCCATAGCGCAGCCTGGGTAAAGCGGACACCAGGCCATGCTCATTGATGAACTGAATCAATGATTTCAGTCCTTGCCGTCTTGTCATTTCCTAATTTCAAATTATATATTATTTTTACTATTATTAATAATATTATTTGAGACATCTTTTTTGTGTAAAATTTAGACATATGCTATAAGAGGAAACATTTAAACATTCTATAGAAGCCAATCAATGTCGTTGTACCTTTTCCCCCAGGCTGACTGTATCTTCATAACCAATCCATTCATAATTCTGGACCATGTAAGGATTCTTCTGTATGTTGTCGTAGTATTTACGGCCCGTTGCATATCTTCGGCATATCTGTTCTTGTGCGAATAGAAAAATGTATCATAGAAAATAGAACAAACTAATTAATTCACTACTATCATCATCATCATCATCATCATCATGGTAGGAGTAAGTACTTCATCTTGGAAGCATACACAGCAGGGCTCTACAGTTACCAGTAGATGTTCCCTTTTAACAAATTTGTCGGCCGGTTTAACCTCTAATTATTCTCCGTGGGCAGGTCGACTTGGGTTGATTTCCAGGCCTCGAGACATTCTTGCTGTATTTTCCCAAGCTAGCAGACAACGCGAGACTTGACGGTAGCAACTGACCAAACTGACCCTCAACAAGTCTGCACAGGAAGGCGCCATGCCGGTCTGAAGTGAGTTGGCCACTCAAACCTGCCATCAACATCGTCATTGAATCACTAGTGCCCCGCTCATGGCAATTACTCAACCGAAACCCGTGAAACGCCATCTCTTTTCCAGGTCTGGACTTGTGCGTCAGGTCGGAGTCTTCCACTCCAGTTTGCTAAGTCGTTTCCACTGTATGGACTTTCGTTCACCAACAACTGTACGGTCTATGATATTTCCGTACTTTAGATAGACTTGGTGTGTCTCTTGTATTTAACAACACTGCCAGTGATGGAACAAATCAAATGAAATTGTGACTGTTTATTATAAACATGCAATGCCTATTCAAGTACCACGATAATTTCATTTAAGCAATGATGAAGAACACTTCAGTATAAGTTGATGTAATGTATTCTTCCCACTTCTAACGAGTTTTTGACCGTTATCAAATGTTCGTGAACTCTAACCTAACACGAAGTGCAAATATCTTTCTTTTAACGAAGTTTGTGATGTGTTTTCTTGTAGATATATAACCGTAACTCTTTAAAAGTATGACATTTTTTTTTCGATTTTATTTAACGCTTCGGTCCTGCAGTAGACCGGCTGCATTGACTAGCTACAGTTCTTATTTTCGACTTTAAAGCTAAACACGTCTGACCCTGATTGGTTCTCTAGCGGTTTCCTGGACTTCTTTTCCTCCCCCCCCCCACTCCCCCCCCCCCTGTCTTCCTGTCTGTCTGTCGATCTCTCTGTCTCTGGCACCCCTTCGTTTTCGGTATATCCTTTTCGCCCTGGCATTTTCAGAGTCGTAGAATCTCGGTCAGTTGTCCCGCTTTATCTAATGGAAAGATTAATCTGCTTCTTCTATCTGTACGTCTGGAGAAGAAAAAGAAGAAAAAAGAAAAAGACGAAGAAGAAGAAGAAGAAGAAGAAGAAGAAGAAGAAGAAGAAGAAGAAGAAGAAGAAGAAGAAGAAGAAGAAGACGAAGAAGAAGAAGAAGAAGAAGAAGAAGAAGAAGAAGAAGAAGAAGAAGAAGAAGAAGAAGAAGAAGAAGAAGAAGAAGAAGAAGAAGAAGAAGAAGAAGAAGAAGAAAGAAAATGTATGAACGTGCTGTTTGATAGATGCCGGACTAAATTCCATCCATATTTTGAAGACTGCACATTGTGTAATCGAACATAATGATAGCTGCGAGCCCAATATGACGTTGTACACAACAATTTTCAATAATTATGGAGTTGCTGATGATAAAGACGGTGGTGGTGATGACGATGATGATGATGACGGTAGTGTCAATGATGACGATGCTATATTTATACAGTAAACTGTGCCTATGTTGGCTTACCTCTGGGAATGCCATAGCACCATCAATGAGATATATATCACCACGTAGGACATCATTTGTAATTGGAGCTCCTGGTTCAAAATGCGTCTGTGGGGACACCAGCTTTACAAAATTGCCTAGTGCAGACACGCCTAGCACCATCTTCTCCAATGGACAACCTTCATGGTTCCAGATGTGGACTGTGTAATTCTGGCCGCGTGACAGAGAACACTATAATGTTTGGCTGTTACAGAAATAGTCACGCAAGCACCAAGACAGATAGAAAGGCAAACAGACTGGCAGGGGCCTAACTGACTGATGGCTGTCAGACACCCAGACAGGTAAACAGACTGACAGTGATCAACTTCCTGACTGATTGCTGTCAGACACCCAGACAGGTAAACAGACTGGCAGTGGTCAACTTCCTGACTGATGGCTGTCAGACACCCAGACAGGTAAACAGACTGACAGTGATCAACTTCCTGACGGGTGGCTGTCAGACACCCAGAAAAAAAAGCAGACTGGCAGTGGTCAACTTCCTGACGGGTGGCTGTCAGACACCCAGAAAAATAAACAGACTGGCAGTGGTCAACATCCTGACGGGTGGCTGTCAGACACCCAGACAGGTAAACAAACTGGCAGTGGTCAACTTCCTGACGGGTGGCTGTCAAACACCCAGACAGGTAAACAGACTGGCAGTGATCAACTTCCTGACGGGTGGCTGTCAGACACCCAGAAAAATAAACAGACTGGCAGTGGTCAACTTCCTGATGGGTGGCTGTCAGACACCCAGACAGGTAAACAGACTGACAGTGGTCAACTTCCTGACGGGTGGCTGTCAGATACACAGACAGGTAAACAGACTCACAGTGGTCAACATCCTGACGGGTGGCTGTCAGACACCCAGACAGGTAAACAAACTGGCAGTGGTCAACTTCCTGACGGGTGGCTGTCAAACACCCAGACAGGTAAACAGACTGGCAGTGATCAACTTCCTGACGGGTGGCTGTCAGACACCCAGAAAAATAAACAGACTGGCAGTGGTCAACTTCCTGACGGGCGGCTGTCAGACATCCAGACAGGTAAACAGACTGACAGTGGTCAACTTCCTGACGGGTGGCTGTCAGATACACAGACAGGTAAACAGACTGACAGTGATCAACTTCCTGACGGGTGGCTGTTAGACACCCAGACAGGTAAACAGACTGGCAGTGGTCAACTTCCTGACGGGTGGCAGTCAGACATCCAGACAGGTAAACAGACTGACAGTGGTCAACTTCCTGACGGGTGGCTGTCAGACACCCAGACAGGTAAACAGACTGACAGTGATCAACTTCTTGACGGGTGGCTGTCAGACACCCAGACAGGTAAACAGACTGACAGTGATCAACTTCCTGACGGGTGGCTGTCAGACACCCAAACAGGTAAACAGACTGGCAGTGATCAACTTCCTGACGGGTGGCTGTCAGACACCCAGACAGGTAAACAGACTGGCAGTGGTCAACTTCCTGACGGGTGGCTGTCAGACACCCAGACAGGTAAACAGACTGACAGTGGTCAACTTCCTGACGGATGGCTGTCACACCCGACAGGTAAACAGACTGACAGTGATCAACTTCCTGACGGGTGGCTGTCAGACACACAGCAGGTTAAACAGACTGACAGTGTCAACTTCCTGACGGTATGGCTGTCAGACACCCAGACAGATAAACAGACTGATAGTGGTCAACTTAGATGACGGGTGGCTGTCAGAACCCCAGAAAAATAAACAGACTGGCAGGTGATCAACATCCTGACGGGTGGCTGTCAGATACCCAGCTAGATAAGATAGACTAGCATAGATCAGCTAGAGAGACGGGATAGATAGTCCAGACAGACAGACAGGTAAACAGACTGATAGAAGATCAGATTCGATGTATGTATGTCATAGATAGTAGATAGAAGATAGATAGATAGATAGATAGTGGTAAATTCTGATGGGTGGCTGTTCAGACACAAAGACAGGTAAACAGACTGACAGTGGTCAACTCCTGACGGGATAGTGTCATGATACACGATAGGTAAATAGATCAGATTGATCTAAAATCCTGACGGGTGGCTGTCCAGACACCAGAAGATAGTAGATAGCCATAGATAGACTTCCTGATAGATAGATAGAGACAACCAGACAAGATAGATAGACTGACAGTAGATCAGATAGATAGATAGATAGATAGATAGATACCCAGACAGGTGTAAAATAGACTGGCATAGACAGATAGCTAGACCGGAATAGATAGATAGATGATAGATAGATAGATTAGATAGGGAGATAGATAGATGATAGATTCATAGATAGATGGATAGATATGATAGATAGATAGGTAAATAGATAGATAGATAGATAGACTAGATGGAACGGATAGATAGTCAGAAAGATAGACAGGATAACCGAATACATTGATAGATAGATAGATAGATAGATAGATAGTCGGATAGATAGAAGAGGTATAGATAGACTAGCATAGATCAGCTAAGAGACGATAGGATAGATAGATAGACCCAGGGCATAGATAAATAGATGACAGTGGTAGATAGATAGAAGATTAGGATAGATAAGATAGACTAGCGTAGAATAGCTAGATAGATCGATAGCATATCAGATAGGCTTGAGAAAGATAGATAGAATAGATAGATAGATAGATACAGACCACGCATAGATACCATAGATAGATAGATAGATAGATAGATAGATAGAAGATATGATAGATAGCGCAGATAGACCAGATAGATACCACGCGATAGGCGCGCACACAAAGATCACACATAAACACCACCAAAACAATTACAAAGAAGGGGTATGCAGGTAGGAAGACAGGCAAAGCGAACGAACGAACGGGATTTTATTTTTTAACAGTCCAACCTGGTTGAATAGATAGAAAAAGACATACAGCAACAACTAGACAGACGCAGACAAGACAGACAAAAGACAGACAGACAGACAGACAGACAGGACAGACCAGACAGACAGACAGATAGATAGATAGATAGATAGATAGATAGATAGAAGATAGATAGATAGATAGATAAATAGATAGATAGATAGATAGATAGATAGATAAGATAGATAGATAGATAGATAGAAGATAGATAGATAGATAGCTAGATAGATAGTAGATAGATAATAGATAGATAGATAGATAGATAGATAGATAGATAGATAGATAGATAGATAGATAGATAGATAGATAGATAGATACATAGATAGAGATAGATAGATAGATAGATAGATAGATAGATAGATAGATAGATAGATAGATAGATAGATAGATAGATAGATAGATAGATAGATAGATATAGATAGATAGATAGATAGATAGATAGATAGATAGATAGATAGATAGATAGATAGATAGATAGATAGATAGATAGATAGATAGATAGATAGATAGATAGATAGATAGATAGATAGATAGATAGATAGATAGATAGATAGATAGATAGATAGATAGATAGATAGATAGATAGATAGATAGATAGATAGATAGATAGATAGATAGATAGATAGATAGATAGATAGATAGATAGATAGATAGATAGATAGATAGATAGATAGATAGATTAGATGGATAGATAGATAGATAGATAGATAGATAGATAGATAGATGGATAGATAGATAGATAGATGGATAGATAGATAGATAGATGGATAGATAGATGGATAGATAGATAGATAGATGGATAGATAGATAGATAGATAGATAATAGATAGAGAGATAGATAGATAGATAGATAGAGATAGATAGATAGATAGATAGATAGATAGATAGATAGATAGATAGATAGATAGATAGATAGATAGATAGATAGATAGATAGATAGATAGATAGATAGATAGATAGATAGATAGATAGATAGATAGATAGATAGATAGATAGATAGATAGATAGATAGATAGATAGATAGATAGATAGATAGATAGATAGATAGATAGAGATAGATAGATAGATAGATAGATAGATAGATAGATAGATAGATAGATAGATAGATAGATTAGATAGATAGATAGAATAGATAGAGATAGATAGATAGATAGATAGAGAATAGATAGATAGATAGATGATAGATAGATAGATAGATAGAAAAGATAGATAGATAGATAGATAGATAGATATAGATAGATAGATAGTAGATAATTGCTGGAGAGATGGTAAGCATGACAAAAACCCTGTTACCAGCCTGCAAGATACACACAAAAAACTATTTCTCTTTATCTTTTTCGCCCTTTTTCTTAGCTGCTAGA